CACCCTGCAGGGATGCCTGGAACTGGGAAGGCAGCAGGGGTTTGCTGCAGGGGCCACAGCACCAACCCAGACACAGCAGCTGTTGCCCCAAACTGGGAACTCAAGCTTTTTAAACATTGTTTTTTTCCCTTACAGTGTAACGCCACTGGATCAGAGACAGCTCAGTGCTCACCACAAGCACCACGGGGAGGGTTCAGTGAAGAGCTGGGTATGGTGTGCTCAGACATGGGAACAAAACTCCATCTCCAGCTTCCAGGAAGTTTTTTATTAGCTACAAAGCTACCAAAGTTAGTGCTGCTCTCACAGCAGCTCTGCTCCTTTGTGACTTTTACTCCAGGTTTAGTGCAAAAGGGGCTTCAGACACAGGAGCAAATCCTCTCCATGGAAGGAAAAAGGTGCCTGCTGCACCTCCAGCAAACAAAATCCATAACTCTTTTCACTGAATCCTGCTAGACCCAAGGAGGATTTTTCCTTCAGGAACTCTGCATGTGGTGCAGCAGTTTGAGCTGTGCTGGGGAGGTGGTTTGGGTCTTCACCACCACACTACGTTTTCTTTAAGAAGATGGAACTGGCATGTTCTGAGGACTGCTGCTCCTCAGAAAACCAGCAGTGTTTGTGGCTCTGGTTTTAAAAGGCTTGGAAACAGAAGGAGCCCTTGTTGGAGCACAGCTGGTTTTCTGTCCAGCTTGAGGTGGCTCTTTGAGGTTTCTCAAACAGCCTCTTTACAAGCAGAAAAACTCTGAAAAATCCCAGTTCAGAAGAAGCCTCCTGGCCAGCCACAAGGCTAACCTCAGTTTCCCTCTTACCCAACTTCACTAGCTTGCAGCTGACCCAAAGTAATTTAACATGCAATTCAACATGCAATTCAACAAACAGACACCTCACAAACTTTGGCTCTCAAAAGAAAATGCTGAAGCAAAAATATTCCTTAATATCTATGACTGCAAATCACCTACTTCAAACTAGCAGAGAGACTAAAATTTTGGGGAACCCTGCTTCCCAGTTGTCAGGTAGGTTAAGATGAACATTACCTTGTTGAAGTGTTTCAGATGCATGTAGCACACACCCAGGTTGTGGCTGATCTCCTGGAAAAAAAACAACAAACACAAGAAACCCCCCCCAAACCAAATCACCATGAAGTCTGAGACACAGGCTGCACAGTCTGTCAGTGAGCAAAGTCATCACTGACCTGGATGGGGAGACCCCCCATGCCTGCCCACACCCCTCTGGCTTTGTGAATCATAGAATCAGACCGGTTTGGGTTGGAAGGGACCTTCAAGATCATCCAGATCCAACCCCCTGCATGGGCAGGGACACCTCCCACCAGCCCAGGTTGCTCCAAGCCCCATCCAGCCTGCCCTTCAACACTGCCAGGGATGGGGCAGCCACAGCTTCCCTGGGCAACCTGTTCCAGGGTCTCACCACCCTCACAGCAAAGAATTCCTTCCTCATGTCCAACCTAAATCCCCCCTCTTCCAGTTTTCATTCATTCCCCCTTGTCCTCTCCCTCCCTGCCCTTGTCCCAAGTCCCTCCCCAGCTTTCCTGGAGCCCCTTCAGGCACTGGAAGGTGCTCTAAGGTCTCCCTGGAGCCTTCTCTGCTCCAGGCTGAACAACCTCAACTCTCTCAGCCTGAAATCAGGTAAACATAAAAATTCAAGTTGCTTCAGGAATCTACAGGCTTAAGTGTGATTGTACACAATAGACTACAGACCACTGAGACAAAAAAGACAAGGATGGTCTCTGGAGAACAAGGAGCAAAGACTGATTTCTTCACTGAGATGCAACTCCCATCTTGGGAAGCTGAAAAGCAAGATCCACCAATTCCTCATTTCTATTCTGGTGAGCATCTCACTGCTTCATCAGTTTAGACAGCCTTGACCTTTAAGAGGAAACTCTCTTATTTCCCCATTAGCCCTCTCAAATGATATTTTCCTCCACAGTCTCTCCAGCTGTGGAGAACAGCAAAGAATCAGTAACTCCTGGTTGGTGCAGCTTGCAGGAGGCACACAAGGGAAGGTCACAGGCTGGTTCTACTGCCAGTGCTGAGCCAAGGAGGGGAAACAAATCACCAAACTAGCCACTGCCATCTGCCTGCTGCAGGGGTAAATGGTGAGAGACCAAGCACATTCTGTGGGTAGCTCAGCCTGGGGAATGGAGGCTTGAAAGAAGACCCAGGGTGCAAAAGGCTTCTGAGACGCTTGGCAAGGTCAGTAATACCAAACATCTTCTTGCACCAAGCCTGAAGTTTAGATGTACTGAGCACCAAAAGGATGGCTGGAGTCAGCAAGTGCCTGATGGCTGAGGAAAAGGGATCACATGGAGCGAGTGAAAGAAACACTTCCCCAGGCAGAACTATCACCTGCAGAAGGCTGCCCACAGCTAACTGCAGCCATGTTCTCTCTCCTCTCACCCACTGTCACACCTTCCCCTATGCAAAGCTCTTCTTTCACTTTCTGTCTTCTCCTATAGAAGCTAATTTAATTCTTGTTCCTGGAGCTACCAGCCTGCAATTTGCCAGAACAGGTAATCCTGGTAGGTAACAGGTAACCCTCTCAGAGAGCTTGAGGGTCACCTTTTTCAATGGGGTTTGGCATTACAAAAGGATTCCCAGTTATTCAAGTAGGTTTTAGTGACAACTCAGGGCTTCCAAAGGGGGAGGTACTTCCCATTCTTTCCTTACTGTAGATAGATACATGGCTGTGTTAATACTGATACTTTGCAAAGCTCAACCATGTTGCTTGATCCTCTGTGCCCCAAGACAAAGTGTGGGATTTTGCAGTAGAAATGATGCCTTGCTCCTATAATCCTTGAAGAAGGAAGATTGAACTGAGACATGAGGATAAAATTCTGGAGCGTGAGGGTGATGAGATCCTGGAACAGGTTGCCCAGGGAAGCTGTGGCTGCCCCATCCCTGGAAGTGTTGAAGGGCAGGTTGGCTGGGGCTTGGAGCAACGTGGGCTGGTGGGAGGTGTCTCTGCTCATGCAGGAGGTTGGATCTGGATGATCTTGAAGGTCCCTTCCAACCCAAACCATGCTGGGATTCTATGAGCCAAACCAGATGCTGCAAGGGCTCTTTGGTGCTCAAAGGCAGTGCCTCTCAGCCCTGCAGCTCCTCCTCTGCCCAGCTTGCAGGCAGCATCACCTCACCTCTGCTTGCCACAAGTTTGCAGCTGCCTTCATAGAGCTGCAGAAACATCTGCAGACATCAGTAACCTGCCCTCACTGCAACACTCACCCAGTCCTTCTCATCAAGTTTAGCTGCTTCACTGTACACTTCAATGGCCGCCTTGTGCTTCCCCAAAAGAAACCTGCAAAAGCATTTCAAATAGTTGTTTTTTCTTGCTCTGAAAGCCTGCTGTGCAGCCACCATCACCTTTGCCAGTGAGAAATGATGCTATTTGCTAGTTCTCCAGAGGCCTGCGTGAGGAGGCCTGAGAAGTTTACAACCTCAGCAGTATTTTGATTGAGCACTACTCTCTTTCAGGGCCAAGGTCATCAATCCTGAGAGACACTCCCTGGTGTTACTGGGGAGGCAAGGAGTGAATTCAGGGGCTCTGCAGCCTGACTTTGCCTCAAAGGAAAAAGACAGGTGATCAAACCAGACCCCCAGAGACAGAAAGGGGTCTGCAGGGCAAGGTTACACAGCTCTGGAGCTGGAAACCAGTGTCACCTTTCGTGCTAAAAGCAAAACAAAAGAAGACAAGACAATGGCAACGAGGCAGACACAAGAGGTTTTGCTTTTAAGGGCAGCCCTCGCTTCTGGGAGCCAATTCAGGAGCTGATAAGAAGGAAGCATGTTTGGAATTAAGCCTGGGATTTCATTTGATGCCTGGGAGAAAAACAAAACAAAGAAGGTCCTGGGTGGCACATCAAAGGGAGACAATAAAGCAGCACTCACAGTGACCGTGCCACCTGCTTGAGGTTGTCAGCGCTCCGAGGGTTCAGGATGGAACATGTCTGAAAAAGTTCCAGAGATTCTTGAATTTTCCCCTCCAAGCGAAATATCAAAGCTGTAAAACAACATATACCAGGGAAATCAGTCCATTACCTGCAGGAACAATGTGCCTCTCTGACAGCAGGGACAGGAGGGGAGCACAGAGAGATGACAACAATGCTCATTTGGTCTTGCGCCCTGAAAGGCAGAAGCTGTGTCTGAGGGCAGGAGGACACCCCAGCCAAGGACTCCTGCTTGCTTGGAATCATTTCTGGTTTACAGGACACAGGCAGCTTTGATCCCTGGCAAATTGCTCATTAAGATTTCTCCCCCCACCCCAACTTCTCCAGGCTGCAAGATGTCCTTGGCCAACAAATTTCAGCCATCCCTCACCTCGGTCATCTGCCCAGGTGCCCATGGCACCTCGAACGGCAATGCCAAGTTTTGGGGGACATTTTTTAGGGGATAGAGGGCAGGAGAGGAAGAGAAAGAGCACATTTAGAGCAAACAGGAGGACAACAACCACCTGAGGCCAGCAGCTCTAACAGAAAACGCACATCTGTAATACAGCCAAACACACAACCCAAGCACACACCAACACAGGGAAGGCCAAGAGCCCATCACCCAGTGAGGAACCGGTGACAAACTCCTCAATATGGAGACAACAGAACAGCTCATCTGGCCATCCATGTGAAAATCCCAAACTTCCAAACTAGGCCTAGCAAGTAAGAAAAAAGCCAAATATTTTTTAAATACCAATTTGATATTTCTCTAATCCGTTTCCCTTCTTATTGCTCACTGTGTCCCAAACCAGAAGTAACTTGCTTGAGCAGAATAAAGGCTTTGGGAGCCCTCCTGCCTACCTTGAACGTAGACTGCGTATTCACACAGCCCGTGGGACTCCTGGAGCTGCTCTTTGATGACAGCCTGAAAGGACAAAGTGCAGAGAGTACATTCCTAAAGCAGCCTCCATCACCAAACAGCCCATTAGCTGGTTCACTGTTACCCCACCCACGTGGCAGCTCTCAGGAGAATAGAAACCCTTCAGATAACTCAATAAAAGCAAACCCTGCGAAAGCAAATGGATTCCTGACTGACCAAATACCTTCTGCAACCTTGCTTTGGAGAACTTTTTGGATGTGCTACATACAGCTGTGGTAGATCTGTGCCCACTGCAGAATGCCTTAATGTAACTTGAGTTCAAACATCAGGCAATGTGTGGATCATAGAACCACAGGGGTTGGAATGGACCTCTGATGATCATCAAGTCCAGCCCCCCTGCTGCAGCAGGAACACCTAAGGCAGGTCACACAGGAACATGTCCAGATGCGTCTTGGAAGTCTCCAGCAAAGGAGACTCCGCAGCCACTCTGGGCAGCCTGTCCCAGGGCTCTGTCACCCTCACAGCAAAGAAGTTTCTCCTCATGTTGAGGTGGAACTTCCTGTGTTGTCACTAGATGCCATTTCCCCTCGTCCTGTCTCAGGCACCACTGAACAGACACTTGCTCGTTCTTGACACCCACCCTGTAAATATTTATGGACATTCATAAGGTGCCCTCTCAGTCTTCTCTTCTAAACAGCCCCACGTCTCTCAGCCTTTCCTCATATGACAGATGTTCAGTCCCTTCATCATCCTTGTAGCCTCAGTTGGACTCTTTCCAGCAGATCCCTGTCCCTCTGGAACTGGGGAGCCCAGAACTGGACACAACACTCCAGATGTGGTCTTACTAGGGCAGAGTAGAGGGACAGGAGAACCTCCCTTGACCTGCTGGCCACACTGTTCTTAATACATCCCAGGATACTACTGGCTCTCTTGGCCAGAAGGGCACATTGCTGTCCCATGGAGAACATGTTGTTCAGCGGGACCCCAAGGTCCTTCTCCACAGGGCTGCTTTCTAGAAGGTCAGCCCCTCATCTGTATCAGTGCATAGACAGAGCTTTTCCTGAAGTGATGGTAGCAGAGGTATCATGCAGGACATGAGAACTACAACATTTAATTAGTCAGGATTTGTGCTTGGAAAAGTTAATATTGATACAAAATTTGTAGCTAGTTGCTGCAAGATGTTCTATTAGAATGCTATAAAAGTGGTAAACCGACAATATTTTAACAGACTTAATGACAGAGATTTGGTTGCAGTCACAGAAACCACAACCCCACGTAGAATAAAGGCTCTGGACTGTGGCTGGGAAACCTAGAATAGGACCCAGAAGTGGGCAAGTTCCTCACTGTGCCAGCAAAACTAGCACCCTTTAAGCATGTCTTTGTTCATTCCTATTACCAAAGATAATGAGATATTCCCTGGGGAAAACACCACAAGGAATCTCTGAAAGCATCCTCTGCTGATGAGGATGGGCCCTCTGTGAGGAAATAAATTGAATTGGAGCAACTGCAGCTGAGTCACTGAAAGCCACGTGAATAAATGAGGAGAACATGGGAAAAGGAAGGAGAAAAAAAATTGATGAAGATGGAAATTCTTGCTGGCTCCATTCCTGCAGCTGACAGTCTGGGGTGTGGGTGCAGTCTGGCTCCACTCCAAAATTCTAAAACTGGTCAAAAAGTGTGACTTAGGGAGGATGAGCCCTGTGGCTACGACACAAGCACATCATTCTGCTCTGAGAATCCTCTCTTGCTGGAAGTGGAAGAGACAAAGCAGAGAAATGAAGATTTCTGGGCTAGCAATAACCCGGTGCTCATCTGGCACTTGGGCCAAGTGTAGGGGCGACACCAGCAGCCCCTGCCTCTGAGATGGATATAAAAGAAGGACCTGAAAGCCAGAAGGAAAACTAACCCACAAATACAGCACATGGAAGGAAAGGGCAGTGAAGGTCCTGGGGGGGGATCATTGAGAATCCTCACTCATAGAAAGTAGACTAAGCAGAGGAAGGAAAAGGATGAACAAATCCATGCTGCTCTTCCCCCACATCTGTACCGTCTCAACAAGAGACCCTCCACAAGCCACATTTCAGTCTTTACAAAGCAGGTTATTACAAGACAACACAGATATAAACAAGCTTTTTCTGAATGCAGAGACTCCACGTTGCTCCATGTACATAAACCCAGTTTCTCAGAGCAAGAGAGGGCAACAGAGAGCTATCTATCTTTTAGAGAGATCTGATTAATTCTGTAAGCCCTAAAAAATCCCACAGCAAAAGGCCTTGAGCTGAGAAATATGATCTGTATTCCCAGCTTTTCCTCCCAAGTTTATTTAATTCACTGACAGAATTCAGATATACTGGCAGGAGACCAAGGAGCGTGAGCAATTTTAATTAATTAAAAGCATCTGGTAATGTTAATAATTCCTTCCTTGCACATCACAGCAGCACAACATCTCTGTTGTGAAAACTGGTTAGGGGGTAGGGCTGGAGCTGATGCTGCAAGCAGAAAGCACAGTTTATTGGCTTTGCATGCAAGGAGCAAGAGCTGAGTGATGATCACAGCCCTGGTTCCTCCCCAATCTTGTCTCTGCTTTGGCAGGGGCTGCTGCAGCCACAGGCTCCAGGGGATCTTTGTCTTGCATCTCACTGAGTTGGGGGAGAGACAAATCAAACAGCTCACACGATTAATCTCCTGCTGTAATGAGCAGCAAAAGCTTGGCAGCACCAGCACAGACCCAGGAGTGGCACTGTAGGGGTTAAAATCCACTTAATACCGTCACTTTGGGGAGCTAATGTTGGTAAACAAACCATTTTTCTTGGCCTTTTACATCATTTACAAATATGGGAGCTTCTAAAATCATATTAGAGAGGAGGAATTTCAAAGCATTGAGAGGAAAAGAGGGCCTGGTGAGACTCAAGACCAAAATTAACAGCATTACAGGTTACTTGTTTCTTTGTTGAGCCTTAAAAGAAAATTAATGGACTCAAGGAATGCCCAAACTACACTGAAATCAGGGAGTTGACAGCAACTTAAAGCACTGGCAATACTGTCAATACCTGGTTTGGTTTGAAGATGTTAGTCCCAAATAGCATGTTTGACACTGTGTTTGCTTATGACATCTAAGGACAAGGAGCCAGGACATCCAGGTAAGATCCATCACCCCATGTAACACCAGTGGAGAGAGACAGAGACTGCCAGAGGACAGGTCAGCCCACCTAAGAGCTGAGTTGCCTTTTGGATTTTGTTTTTACTTCTTCTGAATCACCTATGACTCCTCCATGACTGACAAAGCATCCTGGCACGCTGAGGTTCTTATTTTCTTTGGGACAAATCCAGACTTCTGAGCACACAGCCACCACAGCTGGACCAAAAGGATGGAAGATCATTTAATGAGCTACAGTCTGGTGCCAAACTCCTCCAACTTTACTGCAAACCCCGTTTTGTGAGCCCTGAGGAAAGGAAAGGCTTTGCTGCCTTTTACTTTGACAGCTACTGCAAAGCTGACCTGCCAAGCAAAAGAGGATTAGCTGACTCCTCTCTCTTTTTTCTCCCCATATTTTGCTTGCTTCTGTGACTGATGAAGATGTAGAGAAGTCAATGTTGCCATTAGATCACCTGCTTGGTGATTTTCTGTTTTCCTGAGCCCTACATCTTCTCTGATCCTCTATCCCACCACAGAAACAGTAAAGACACACAGAGACTAGACAAATGCAGTCAGATCAACAGAAAAGGAAAACATTTTCCTATTTAGATTGCTAATCCAACTTCTGTTTATTTAAACCAAGATCTGAGGGGAGATCTCTCTGCTGATGATACAACCCTCCAGCTGCATTAATTAAAAGCTAAATTAATTCCCTCTAGCCTGCCACTTTCCTGAACACCCCCAGGAGTTCTCCAGCAGAGAGACAAGTCCTGACCAACCCGGGTGTTTCAGAAGCAAAAAAGCCTTCTCAGATCTTCTTTGCACATCACAGAAACAGAAAGGCAACCCTTGCTCCCCTTCTTCTGCCCACTGGCACATCATCTTCAATAGCCCCTGTTCTTTTTATCAGGAAAATAATAATACATTTGCCATTTCCTTAGTGCACTTACTATTATAACCTCAAACAAACAGCCACTTCCAAGCCACCCACCAAACCCAGCAGAAATTACATCTATCATGTGCAAAATGAAAAAACTTTGTCCAAGGGCAACCAAGATCTTTTTGGTTTTTTTAGACTTGGTAGTAATGTTTTACTCACCTGAAGTGTTTTCCCTAGTGTCTCTTTTGTACCATCAAGAGACTTGACTGTGGAACTGCATAATTATCAGTTTGGAAGACACTATCTATCTCTTGGAACAAGAGAGGTTTGCAATTCTTTCCATTTTTCCACTCCCAAAGACCCCCTGAGCTTCCAGGTTGCTCTAGAGAACTGCAAGCAGGAGCCTTGATGGTAGCCAAGGATTTGAGCACATTCACTTTATTTTACTTTTCTTTCCTCCCGGCCCTCTTATTCCAAAGGAAGTCAGGGAAGAGGGTGGTTTGAAAACTGATATGAAAACTAATGTTTCATAACATTAGTAAAATACTTCCCAGTGCACAGCCCCCAAAGCAGCTCTTACCTTGCACTCCTCGTAGTCTCTGTGAACATACAGCAGATAGATCAACCAGTTTTTGCTCTCCAGGATTGGTAGCTCGGGTGCTACAAATGTAAAATATTAACAGAACACAGGAAATCAGGCTGAGCAGCAGGGCAACTGGGCACAGCACAGAGACATTCTGAACCACCCACAACTGATTCAAGAACTGCAGTTGCACTGGGTGGTGCAATCCATCATTCCATTTGAAGCCTGGTGTGTGGACATACAACCAGGATCCAGTTTGATTTTACTTTTCAAACTGATGGGTAAAATGCATTCTTCAGGATAGGCACTAAATAAACCTTTCAGCAGAAAACTACCACCTTGAAAGACCTGAGGAATCAGCGTCTTGGTGCAGTTACTGGAGCCAACAGCTCCAAGCATCAACTACACACGTTTTAATGCAACATCACTGCTGTTCTGATGAAATTGTTTCTTCCAAACATGCAAGAAGCAGCTTGGGGGAAACAAGCTGGATTTCCATTTTGGAACTAAGGCAGAAGAATCAAAGGTCTTGAAAATAAATTTCTGGGAGTGAACAAGAAGGAAACAGGCGATACACACAAGTGGAGGTTTTTGAGATGTTGCTGGTCAGAAGGTGTGAATAATTTAAGGAGGTCAAACTTAGTTCTTTGAAACTGTGAAGAAATCAGGAAACATCACAGGTCTGAGAAACTGTGAAGCTACTGGCAGAAAAACATATTTGATGCAGTGGAGGACAAAGACTTGTGCTCCAGCATTTCAATCCAAAGGAGCTTGCAGCAGTAATTATAGCACATCACGAATGGATGTTGCTTAGTGATATTCACATTGGGTTTCAAAGTTGAACACGCTGCTGTGCATTTCATTAAGGCTTGAAATGTATTGCTTGTTACTCATGTCTACAGTTCAGATCCCGGTGGCTGAGAAGTAACCATAGCAACTGGCAAGAAAGCTTGATGTTTGCAAGTCAATATTATGACAGAAGAGCAGAAGCACAGGAGTGTGGCAGGAGCCGGGGCAAGGAGGGTGATACAGAAACACAGAATCATTCTGATTGGAAAAGACCTTTAAGATCATAAAGTCCAACCATAACCAAACTCTACCAAGCATTCACCCAATTCTGCCAAGCCCAGTGCTTAACCCACGTCCCTCAGCACCATATCCACATGTCTCTTAAACAACCCCAGGGATGGAGATTCACCCACCACCCTGATACAGCCCCAGGCCCAGCCCCATGGAGCTCAGCACAGACCCCCAGCACCAGGGAAAAGGCAGGCTCAGCTTCCTGCAACCCAGAGCAGAAGGTATCATTTGAAGAGGTCCACAGTCCCCTCTGCCTCTGGCAGCACAGGTCATCATCAGGTGTGAGAAAGAAGCAATTCTGAAACTGGAAGGGCTAAATCACACCAGGAAATGTTACCAGTGCAAGTGTTCTTATCTTTTAGAAACACTGAGCTTGAATCACACACGAACTGCACCCTGGCTTGTAGCAAACACATCTCTCAAGTCACACAATCACAGAATTGTTCTGGTTGGAAAAGACCTTTAAGATCATTGAGTTCCACCATAACTCAATTCTACCAACCATTAATCCAACTCTACCAAGTCCAGAGCTTAATCCCTCAGCACATCTACACATCTCTTAAGCAACTCCAGGGATGGAGACTCAACCACCTCCCTGGGCAGCCTGGGCCAGTGTTTAATGACCCTTTCAGTGAAGAAATTGTTCCCAAAATCCAATCTAAACCTCCCCTGGCACAACCTGAAGCCATTTCCTCTTTTTCTGTTGCTTGTTCCTTGGGAGAAGAGAGAAGTGTACCAGGCTCTCCTCCACAATTCACACCAAGTCTTGTATCACTGAGAGCACTTAAAAACAACTAGAATTCTTCTGCTGCTGAAGTTGAAAAAAAATGTGTAAAGCAATTCTGGTTACGTTGGGTTTTCTCCTTATATTCCAGAACATTCAGTCAGATTTATAGTAGAGCTGAGATTTAAGCGTGCACACCAGCAATTTAAGGTCAAATACCTTATAAAGAAGGTTCAGCTACCCTAGAAACAAACAGAAAAATCACAGTCCAAACAAAAAATAAATCCAACCAAGATAAGCTTACAGAAATGCACAGATTAGGGATCCAAATCTTCTCAAAATCTGCTCTGCTGTGAGCTATCTGGGTCTTTGTAAGAAAGGCATTTTTATATGTGTGTTCCCAGATCAAATTAATTGAGTTCAGATGACTTGATGTTCTCTATTAGTCCTTCTCACAGTGAAACCATGAAGGGAAGAGTTAGGAGGCTGCCTAAATAGCTACAAATTGATTGAAAAAACACCATTTAATGAAGAGTCTGGAGGGCTACTGCTCTGAAGCCCACTGACAGATGAATTAACAGATTTGTAATGACTTCCCTGTGTAAGTTATTACAGGTGCCAGGCTTTGACAAAACTCTCTTTTCCAAGAAGCAGAGCACTTATGGATGCTGGAAATGCACTGCAGAAAGAGGCCAGACTTGGGTGCTCTCCCTGCATAGTGTCTCCTCCTGCCACCATCTGATAGGAAATACTGAACCAGACATGTGTCTTGAGCACTTCTTGCTCTCTTTTCTAAGCAACATCTGCAAATTCTACTAAGCCATAAAAATTTTTATTACAGTCAAAATTAAAGCATACTTTGCCATCTTGTGCCTTAAAATTACAAAATCTGGCATCATTATATGCAATGAAAACTACCTTAAATGGGGATTAATCCCTGTTAAGACCCCCCAGGCATACCCCACCTGCTCTCCAACCATCTGTATCTCCTTACTGGGATGTTAAAAAGAAATAGAAAACAATGTTCAACATTAAAATCTACAGAAAAGCTACCTGGCTGGGGTGTGCTGCTAGCTGAGATGGAAAACAGTAAATTATTTTAGAGCCTAGAGAAATGTTCTGGGCTAAGAGGACAGTCTATCAGTGAGGGGATGGAAGATGGGCTGTTTAATTCCTAAAGGAAAGAGCTTTTTTACACTTTTAAGACCAGAGGGACATTATACTCCACTCCCACGCTAGGAAACGCCTGCTGAGAACAGGGCTGGGAAAGAAGAATTGCTGAAGGTCAGAGTGCTGAGCAAAGCATCAGGCTGCAAAAGAAAAGAATAAAACAAACACTGCCTGCCTTCTGGGGCTAAGACTGCAAAACCCAGAGGAGTTACCTACAAGAGCTGGGCTGGAGAGAAAACAGGGAAATCAAAACACACCACGAGCCGCAGAAGCGAAGGGCACTCACATCTACAGAGATAAAACAGCTCTGCTTCCCTGGTGATATCAGCTGAGGATAACCATGTGGAACTGGGGAAACACACAGGGTTTTTATGCTCCTAAAACACAATTGGAAATAGCAACAAACCTGTTTGAGAAGACTTCACCCTCCTTTTTTCTTTTCTTTTTACTTATGCCAAGTAAATTGCAAAAAGGCAAATGATTCTGATGTCTTTCTAAAAAGGTGTCTAGATGAATTCACAAAGGTAAGTGAATGTTATATATGAATACAAAGCAAACACAGAGGAAATTCACAGAAGAAAGCTGATAAGACTCCTCGAGCCTATTCCAGAAAGAAAATGTGAACGGTTTGACCCCTTCTCTGAAGAAATCCAACATAAACACCATGAACCAAAACTGGTGTGGAACTCAGAGAGGACAGAGAAGAACACAGAAATTGTCAAGAAATCAATAAATTTGACACAACATGTGTGATCCCCAAAAAAAAGGGTGAGAAAATTTGCTTCACCCTGGCTCAAACCAGGACAGGTAGTAAAGGATTATTATCAGGCACTATACTCTACTCAGATGCAGAGAGAAGTAAAGCAACTTATTTATACACCTCTCAACCATATCAATCTACATTTGTTTTCCCACAAAAGCACTGAGATACCTACTTCTGGAGCATTTATCTCCCTCAGGTTTGCTCCCTCAGCCTGCTGATAAGGGCTGTCCCAGTGCAATAGGTTACTGCATTTTTCTGAAGAAAAGGAAAATACAAATCACCGGCTACTGGGGACTGTTAACTACAGAGAAATGGAAGAAAACAACTCTGGAGAAAGGGAATTAAACATTCTCTGCCTTCTGAAAGGACTCGATTAAATAACCACTGGTTCTAATATCCATGTATTTTTTCCAAGTTTAATAATTACCCACAGCATGCCCAAAAAACCATCCCACACAGATGAGTGCTGCTTAGCTCTTGTTGCACTGGCCTGAACAGCAACATATGGCTGGACCAGGCCATGGGGGCTGCCACGAGGGGCAGAGGAACAGAAAGAAGCACAGGCAGAACACCTCAACCTTCCCAAGTACAAGGATGCTGGGAACAGTGGAGGCTCCATACGGCATCTAATCGTTTGCAGTCTCCCACTGATTAGAGCCAGGAACACACTCAACCACAACCTCCTCACTCAGGAGGCTTCTGCACGGGGACAGGCTGCTGCTTTGGGCCTTGCCAGGTGGAGCTGAGCACATTCCTCAGGCTGCTTACACTGCAATGTTCCTCCTTCTTCAACGAATCCCTGACTGGTTTGGGTTGGAAGGGACCTTAAAGATCACCCAGATCCAACCCCCTGCATGGGCAGGGACACCTCCCACCAGACCAGGTTGCTCCAAGCCCCATCCAACCTGCCCTTCAACACTTCCAGGGATGGGGCAGCCACAGCTTCCCTGGACACAAACCTGCAAATGTTTTTCATACGTTATGTATGACACTTTTCTTTGTTACCTTCTGCAGGGCCCTCACAAACAATCCAGGCACTGCTGGGACACAGGGACACAGGTTAGGAAATAGTAGTTTAGACGATTCAAGTAGTGGAGGAAAAAAAAAATAAAGCCACTATTTTCTGTAAAACAATCTGCTCAAGGACCAGCCCAAGAAAATGCAGTTGTCCAAAAACCTGGTATCTCTAGTGAGAAGGGTTTATAACTGTTATAATTATATTTCAGCCTCTCTTTTCTGGGATTACAAAAATCTGGTCTTATTAAGCAACTGCGACGGGGAGCCAGGCACAAATATATGATTAAATACCTCAGTCAAGAGACATGCCAGTTTCTTTGAAGTGTTTTGATTGAATTCAAAGGGGAACCCATCTGATTCCCCCCCTTTCTCAGTGGCCAGTGATTGATCGCACAACCCACTCCCAGCGCTGTGATTTTTCTTTCTGACAAAGCTCCTTTAAGGAAGTCACTGGAGCAGAAACCCCGACAGAATCGGAGCAAGATCATCAGGTTTGTATCTGTGCTGCCCTAACATCACTCTCTGCTTTATTCATCCTCTTTTAGATTTTTCTCAAAGGACTGAAAGATAAATAATCAGAGTTATTCCTTTTTTTGTGTGTGTAAACCTCCCTAGGAAATGATTTTGTGCTTGCATCTTCATATTGGGTAATTATAGCTTAGAGATGAACTATCAAACAGTGGGTTTAGATTTAATAAATGGGTTTTGAAATGGCTGTGAAGAGAGAGAGGGGAAAAAACATCTCTGGAAAGCTCCCGTGAAATTTCATAGGGAAAACAATGGCTAAAGCACCAGGAATTCACCCAAGCTGAGTGGTAAGAGCCTGAGCCCCAGTTCACTCCCCAACCCTCCAGCTTTGTAATCCAACCTGCACTGAACGAGCAAGAAGAGCCTGGAGGAGAAGCAGAAAAGCAAAATGCTTGACAAGACACAAAGAAGAACAGACTAAAATCCATAATAATCTAACCCACAAATAATGTACAGCACAAGGAGATGACAGGAAACCTTCAGAAAAGTAATTATTTTACTTTTTTTTCATTCTGCAGTAGCCTCATGAGCCAGGGTCTGACCCACTGGGACAGGTATCACCTACATGGGTTAAATTATCCCAAAGGCCTGATTTGGATGCTGACTCAACTGTCCCTTTCCAAATCCTAATAAAAAATTGCATGGTGTAAACCAGCATTCAAGCACACAAGTATTTTCAGAATTATTAAACACAAACTCTGTTGTAACATTTTCCTATCAAGAGAGCTGCACCCAAGGAAGAATCTGGTCAAGTGCCTCTTGCTGTGAAACAATGGAAGCAGGAAGTTTTGCTGCAGCAAAGCCTTGAAGGAGCAAGGTTATAATCTGCCACATCAGGCAAGGTTCACTCCAACACACAGAAGAAGGATTGATTTTTTTGGTTGGATATTTATGTCCCAGTTGTAAGTAATTCTGGTCATCTCCTTAACAACAAACTCACAAGGGCATCAAGACAATTTCCCTGCCACTGGAGGAGACTGTCCCAGTCTGAGAGGAAACACATCAAAGTCTTTCAGGACCAACATCCACCCCATATCTCAACTCCCCATCCAACCTCCTAGAGACATTCAGTGACATGATTGCCAGGGTGACATTATTGCCCCTTGCAGAGCCTGGGGAAAGTTCACTGTTGGGCACAGCTCTGGCAACAGGCCAAGCTGAAGTTTGGTGCTCTCACAACCATGTTTATTTAATCACAGAATCATGAAATAGTTTGGGTCAGAAGGGACCTTCAAGATCATCTAGATTCAACCCCCTGCATGGGCAGGGACACCTCCCACCAGCTCAGGTTGCTCCAAGCCCCATCCAACCTGCCCTTCAACACTGCCAGGGATGGGGCAGCCACAGCTTCCCTGGGCAACCTGGGCCAGGCTCTCACCACCCTCACAGCAATTTTCTCCTCATGTCCAACCTCAATCTCCCCTCTTCCAGTTTTAATTTATCCCCCCTTGTCCTCTCCCTCCCTGCCCTTGTCCAAAGCCCCTACACAGCTTTCCCAGAGCCCGTTCAGGCACTGGAAGAAGCTCTAAGGTCTCCCTCGAGCCCCAACTCTCCTAGCCTGTCTCCAGAGCAGAGCTGCTCCAGCCCTCAGATCATCTACCCCTCTGGATTCTCTCTATGTCATTCCTGTGCTGGGGGCTCCAGAACTGGACACAGTGCTCCACGTGGGGTCTCACAAGATGAAAAAGAACTCCAAAGCCACCCTCCAGAGGAGGCTGCACACGCTGTATTTCACTGCGTGAGTACACGCAGATATGTGAGAACACAGGTGTTTGTGTAAACAAATACCTGTAAAATTGATCTAAACAACAGAATAAAGGAGACAGCCTTTTGCTGTCACCACTCTCTGTTCAATCCCTTTCCCCCATCTCTCCTTTTGCAAATTGCTGCTGAAACACCTTTAAATCACCCAATAAACCCGCACGGTTCCTCATTATTTACAGTCGGCTGGGGTTAATAAAACTCATCATAGACCATTCTGGTGCTGGCAAGAAAGCCATAATTCAGAGCTGTGATCTTCCTATCGTGTATTAATAGCTTCACAATAGGCAGAGAAAACGGGGAGGAGGCTGAAAAACAGCAGCAGGTTTAAACAAAAACAGCAACATTTCTGACTCTACACCTCCCCCTGCAGGAAAATTAGCCAGAGCTAAAGAGCCGAAAATTGTATCTTAAAGCTGATTTACACACCAGAGCAAAGAAAAAAAGTAAAAAGGGCATTTTCTGTTGTTAGTTTCCACTGCAGAGATCTTAAATGATTTGCCAGCTCAGCCCTCGGTGGATTTTCTGATTTAAGACATTTGAAGTTCTGAGTTACTCCCAATAAAAACAGGTTTATTTACAACAAATAACTACACTGATTGGTCAATATAAACAGCTCCTAGAATGTGCTGCTCACGTTTAACCTTCAGGTGAAGTGGGAAGATATGTAAATAAATACACACCTGTGACCACTTCCCAGCAGCACAGTGAGGTTCCCAGTGGCAGAACTAGTCTGGTTACTGGGAAATCTCCCTTAGCAGTCCAAGGCTGGCGAGGTACCATTCCACAGCCCTGATTCTATTTGATGAGAGAAGGGGGAATTAGGTACATTAGCACAAATACATTATCCTGATCAACACAAAAAATTTGATTCAAGCCTAATATTGCTTGACTCAAGTCTAAAATTTCATTCACACAAAAAACACTGGGGTGAAATTTAGTAACAAAGGAACACTTTAAAAAAGGAAATTGGAACAGTATGAACTTCTTATTTGCTTAAAAATTTCAACTGAAAGTAACTTTCTTCTGCACAAAGCCAATCTGGACCATCACTGCTGACTGCTGAGCAGAGACACGTGCTCTGAACAGAGGAAAAACAAGGATCTGAAAGAGCAGATTTTAAACATGATCTTGTCTAGAAAAAAATAGGCAGATTGATACAACACTTCTCAAATCCTTTAGGATGAAGATTCTATGCTTGGAGATAATAAAGGATCCAACCCCTGGCATAGCTTCCCAACTGTTACCTTCTTAATTTTTTATTTTTTTTTTCTTCCTTCTTGATGTCTTGTGCTCTTCACAGAATCATACCTCAAATATCATCTAGATCCAACTCCCCTGCATGGGCAGGGACACCTCCCACTAGATCTGGTTGCTCCAAGCCCCATCCAACCTGCCCTTGAACCTGCCTCTTGTAGGCAGCAAGGAGACAGAGCTCCCTCAGGGCATCTATTTGCCAATTCTGTTCCCAAATAAAGGAGGCAGAGGACACCACCACATGGAGCTTCTGAATAAAATGGCTTATAAATAGCACAGGAGGTTGGAGAGATGAACTGATGACTACCCCATCTCCGCCCACAGCAAAGCCAGGATGGAAGATACTTCCCCTGCAAACAAATTGGCTGCAGGCATTCCCAAAATAACCTGTGTATCCAGCTTCTCATTAAGTCCAGTATCAGGAGCATAGTAGTTTTGGGATTTCCAGTCTAACCTTCTTTTGCCTTAAATTCTTATGCTTAGGCTTTTTCTGTCTACGGCACGAGGCACTTCCCATGGAAATCAAAACTAAAATCATTACCAGGCATTTGCAAGGAAAAGCTGTCCTCCTAAACAGCCAGATCAAATGACACCAGGGAGAGCACAACGATCCAGCCCTGACAGGCTCTGACAGTGCCCACTCAACAAGGAGTACCTAGAACGTGTCCTCATTTCAGCCACCTCCAAAGCAGAATATTTCATAGTTGGTCTTGCAAACGGTTCAATAGTTCCTACTAGGAGACCCCACATTTGAATGCAGAATATTTTGCAGACTTGTTGCCTCAGGATGAAGTTTTTCAGGTCAGATCCTCATGATGATGAATATAAAAATAAATCAAGGTCAGCCAGTGAATTACATTGTGGTGAAATATGAATAAAACAGTGACTAAATCACAAGGCTTCTGCAGCATCTGCTCTGCAGATCCAACCACCTGCTACAAAGGGTGTCCTGGTATGAGTGAATGAACAGACTCTGTTCAGACAACTGTAAAACCACTCATGATGCAAGAAACCTCACTCTGATCTCTGCCACAAAGCTGGGAACAATATCTAACCGTGCTTC